CCCAAAGCGATTGACAGCCAGCGCTAATCGGTCCAGTGCTGTTTGGGAGCTGTCACAGATTAGGGCAATATCGTAAGCATACTCCAAGTCAAGAAGTCGCTCACCAGGAACTACGCTACCACCAATTCTTGCTCCAGATCGGTCAGTACGGAAAAGTTGGTATCCTGAGATGTGGATCTCAGAGTCGGAAATGTCCGAAGTGAGCCAGGTTTCAGTGTAGGCCAATAGGTCAGAAAGTAGCTTTGCGGTAAGAGCGTGTACCTCGTCAAATTTGTTTCTGAGACTACGGACATTTGCAACCAACACCTGTAGTCCATCCTTTCTCCTTGTTTTTAAGTCCGGGGGAGGACGAACAGTGGTTTCCAGCGGGACCTTATAGTTTACTGTCCGAGGGTGATGAGAATGGGCCTCCAACGGGTTTTCAGAGTCCTTCGAACTACTCGAAAATCCACAATATGTATGGCTGTTTCACCACTTCCCCGTCTGGTACGTAGTCTTTCTACAGCCTTTTTTCATTTTGACTCAATCTTCCGGTGAGAGGTCACGAAGTACATAGAATGGCTCACCTTTGAGACGCGAGGTCCTTCGCAGGATGCGTCGGCATTCCTCCTCATCCAGGCAAACGATTTTAAGGGGGCGATTTCTCGAGATATCTTCTTGCTTTTTACCAAGCCGGAAGGCAGATACAATATTGATTCCCTGTTCGCCTTCATCAAATACCAATGAGATCAACCGCTCAAGCAGTGTTTGGTCATCTAGTATTCTTTCCGCAGGGGTTGCTTTTTCCGATTGCGCTGCGTCCATGATGATAAGCCAACGGTCGCGAGATGGCTTGGTACGCTCAGGAACATGCGGCTTGCTACGGGACGGATTTTCCTTGACAACTTTCTCAAGCTCAGATAGTCTGTCGAGAACGAGCTTCATTTGAGACTGAGATGATAGCTTAGGTTTGGGTTTCTCGACGGGCTTAGGCCTAGCCTTGGCGCCACTTGTAGTCGGGCTTTTGCAAATAGGAACGGAGACCGCGCATTCCCTCACAACTGCCGCATAAGATCTTGCGGTGGGATCAATGGGCAGGACCTGTGTAGATGGATCCGTATGCGTAGTGGACGTGGTTCGGCTTCGCTTACCCATGGGGGTGATCCAACCGGAAGTAGATGGTGATGGTGAGCACGGTGGAGCAGATGAATCAGAATCAATTTATTAGGAGAATAAGATAGGAATCTATGTGATCTCCATCATAAGTAAAGCAAAAATGACCCATGCCGAATATGGGTCTGTGTGAATGCACATCAATAGTCATTTAGTAATAAGCAAACAAAATACCGATATATAAGCACAAAGAAAACACTATGTGTCTTGGTCTTTTAGGGTTGCTAGTGTAGCCGTAACATAACAACGCGACGAAAGGAGGTCAAACATGGCGTCTGCATCGAAACACAAGTCTGAAAAATGTTTGTCAATGCGGAGCAATTCGGACTTTTCAGCATTCAGTGGAAGGCAGTTTGAAGATGCCCATGAGGAGATTGCATCGAGATCACTTTGCAGTATATCTTCATCGACGGGGGTCGATATTTCCCTCCAAACTTTCAAATCATCTGCGAACAGCGCGCAAGTAGATGTCAAATGTCCTGGTAAGTCGTTGATATGAAACAGAAAAAGCGTTGGGCCAAGTACTGTGCCCTGTGGCACACCACTAGAGGCAGTACACCATTTCGTTCGGTAGTCATTGACCTGGACGCACCACTGTCGCTTGTCCAGAAAAGACTGAATCCATTTCAGCAATTTTCCACCCACGCCATAACTGTTGAGTTTAGATAGCAAGATAAAGTGATTCACTCTATCAAATGCTTTGCTAAAGTCAATCAGCAAGGCATCAACGCTCCTACCCTCATTAACTGCTTCAATCCAACTGTGTCGGGAAGTCAGAAGATTCGTGGTACAAGACCGTCCTCTTAGGAAACCATGTTGAACTGATGTAAGCACATCGTGTGATTCTGCGAACTCAAGCAGTGCCTTCTTGACCACTTTCTCTAGCAATTTGGCCAGCACTGGTGTCAGGCAAATCGGTCTATAGTTCTCTACTCTGCTTGTTTCCTCCTTTCGGGAAGGGCCGTACGATCGCTTGCTTCCATTCACGTGGGACGTCCCCTTGTGTCAAAGAGGCCTCAAACAATTCCGTCACTGCAGGTGCGATAACAGGTGCCCGCCTTTTGAGAAGTAGTGGATGCAAGCCGTCAGGTCCTGGCGGTTTGGAGCAGTCTAGATTAGCAAGCAATCCCCTTACTTGGTCCTCTGAACAGGATACTGTATCCAGTTTGGCGTCGACTTGGATACACTGAAATGCTGGAGAAGCTGAGTCGAACACTGACTCGAAATGTGAAGCAAGTGCGATAGCTCGGTCATTGTCGGCGGTCAACAGTGCACCGAGCGAATTTTCCAAAGCAGGTAACTCGTCAGTTGGCTTAAGCTTGCGCTTGATGTATGCAAAAACCATTTTGGGTGCCTCCTTCGCATTTACTGATAAGCGTGTTTCATAAGTCGCACGCTTCTGTAGTTTCACTGAATTGCAACAGTTTCTCTGTGTTTTGTAAGCTGTGTAATCTTCGGCGCTATGAGTTTGTTTGAACCTCTTCCACAATTTTGCACGTCGCCTCGACATGACAACATATTCGCTATCCATCCATGGCGGCCTCTTCCAACATTTTATTGGTGTTAAAGGAGCAAACTGGTCTAGCAACTGAACAAGGTTTTGCTTCAGCACCTCCCAACACACTTCAACACCGTCATTCAAAGGTAATGACCAGTCCATGTGTTCCGCAGTACTCATCAACCGATCCCAGTTTGCTTTCCAAATGTTACGACGGGGTATTCGTAATGATACAACAGATGGCAAACGTAGGACGGCTGAAATCGTGGAGTGATCGCTGGACCCAATGGGTTCAAATACTTTAGCGGATTCGACATGTTGCTCATCGTTCGTGAAAAGGAGATCAAGACAGCTTTCAGGTTGCCCCGGAAGCTGCCTTGTTGGTTGCAGGATATGTTGCACAGCGTGCATCTCCGCCATTGTATCGACAAAAGCGCATTCGAGATTGCTACTGCCAGGTAGAGCTTTATAATGCGGCCAATCAACGTGTGGAAAGTTAAAATCACCAAGCAACAGAAAATTTCGGCAGTTCAAGCGCTGCTGCACTACGTCGATCCAATCACGGGAAGTGTTTGAAGGACTCCGATAAATGGCTCTCACTCTCAGTTCATTCGGCCCAACAGTAACTCTGCACCAAAGTTGTTCGCATAGGCCGTCGGCACTATAATGTGTAGATATGAGTCCCCCTCTCATGCTGGACTTTATATATAACAATACACCGCCATGAGCGCCCTTGGGTCGTTCGCACCGAAATGTCGTGTATCCATCGATGTGAATTTCAGGATCAGTAATATCACCGTGGAGCCATGTTTCAGTCAGACAAAATAAATCTGGGCAATGTTGCTCTACCCAGAGATGTACCTCATCAAATTTATTGGTGAGGCTGCGAACGTTCGCAAGCGCCACAGTGAGACCGGCAACTAGCTTGGGGCGCGCACCATCAGCAACACCGGCTTGTTTATCAGCTGGCGCTTCTGCACTACTCGAAAATTTACGATATGTATGTTGCTCTCAACTTGTTGAGTTCATCGTTTAAGTTCAATGGTAGCAGTTTGAAGGCGATTTCTTCCTTTTCAAAGTGAAGTCGGCAAGCACGTGAATTTTCAGGCCGTTTAGACGCCAAAGTCGGGACAGAAGACGCGCTGGGGTGACGTCATTTTGAAAACAGTTCGCAACGGACGAGGCGTGTTTGCCGTTCGTTTTCCCAAGCGTAATACTCGTTTTATATGAATACCTAGCTCATCGGGGTCCAGGAGTTTATCAAGCAAATTTTGTAAGAACGCGACATCATGCTCATAACGAATTCGCGGGTCGGAACTCTCTGACTCCGGGGCATGAAAGATCATCAGACAATGGTTACGAGGATGGATCAGACCAGTTTCGGACAATACGGACGGCCGCGTAACGGCGCTCGGAGTCAAAACTGGAGGTCTCTTTCCCGCAACAATCCACGGTGACTCGTTTCTGGTTCCATGATCGGCGACTGTAGCAGGAGGTGGCTCATCAGAGATTCGTAGTGCTTGCTCCGGTTTACCAGTTGATAAAATCCCGCTGCATGGAGGAACTGTGGGCAACGTATTCAGGTTGTCGGGGGGACAGGTGCGACACAGGTCTTCTACTTGGTTGGTCGTATTCTTTGGATGGTCGCCGGGGGATACCGCGCTGCACTTCTTGGCTCTTCTAGCAGTAGGAACGGATGAGCATCTCTCAAGATTCTGAAGCGGCGGTCTTGCCAGTGCAGCTGCATCAATGCAATACCGACAGACCCATAACAGGCCTTTGTGTTCAGCGTAGATCCTAAAAAGCGTATCCGTAAGTTGCGAACAACGCCTGTGACCACAGGCCCAGGATTTACAAGCGATACACTGAATGCCCTGAGTAACCAGTTTTTAGCAGTGTAAACAGAGTGAGTTGGGCATGACGAAATCCGAAGCAATAGCTAACCTTGAATCGTGAATAGTATCAGGTTTCGTCGGAGAAGAATCAAGGTTCAACGAAGATAGTCCGGCGAGAAGACGCCTGCAATTCAGTGAAGCACGGCAGTTGTCGCAGGAGAAGTTAATGGCTGGCGAGGTGAATCGCTGCAAGAGCACATACTGATCAGGACAGGTGCCGCAGCAGGCGATGTGCATCCACCCATCACATTCAGAGCACTGCACTGCTTTGGAACGAGTGGTGACACCTTTACTACAGGACAAGCATTTGGACTCCACGGAAGATGAAGTCCAAATATTCACTAAATGATCCTCCAGAAACGATCTTTATTCTCTTTTCTTCGCCCAGGAGATCTCAGCGGAACGTAACAACCAAGAGGACGCCGCTTTCACAGGTTCGCTGAATGTCCCTGAGTGTTCATTGAGTTGTAGAGAGCAGGAGGGAAATCCCTTGTCAGCCCCATCGATTCCGTGTCATACTGGGTTTGATGCGTGTCGTTGCGTTACGACGTTCCTCGAGGGTTCGTCGTAATTGCAGTGACAGCCGCAAGATTCCAGCATTTTCAGCGAATGTTTGTCTAGCAGCCGCTTGAAACTTTCCTCGGATGGAGCGTCTGCAATTGCTTCCGGTAAGCTGTTCCAGTCATTCACCACTCTAGTGGATAGGGTGACGTCCTTGCGAATTTTGTGTCTTCTTTGCTTAAAGAGCTTCCATGTGTGCCCTCGGGTGGAACAGTCAGTGTTGGGCCGGAAGAATTGTTGTAACTCACTTCCAAGTTCCCCTCGGAGGATGCGTCTAGTGTAGATGAGGTCACCCCGGCGACGGCGGAGCTCGAGGGAGAACAGATTTAGCTTCTGGAGTCGAATGGGGTACGGGAGATCACGTAGCCCCAGAACAGCTTTTGATGCACGTCTCTGAACCTTTTCCAGCACAGCGCTTTCAAACTTTGAAAGCGGATAGCTAGCTGGTAGGCCATATTCTAAGACTGGACGGACGTACGAAGTGAACAACGGTCGAAAAATCTCGGGAGTCATTCGAGCGAATGATCTTCTTAAGGCACCTACCAGTCTCCTTCCAGTGGCCACCTTCTTTAACGTGTCCTGCGTCGTTCTAAGGTCAGAAGTCACGATAACCCCGAGATCTCTCTCGTGGGTGGTATTCCTAAGGAGAAACCCACCAATGTGGTATGCACCGTAAGGTTCGGTGCCACCCATTGGGAGAACAGCGCATTTATCTCGGTTTACTGGCAGTTCCCACTTGATGGACCATTCGTGTAGCTGGTCTAGAGCCCCTTGTAATCTATCCGCATCCTCAATGCTGGATACTGTTGACCAAAGCTTGAGGTCATCGGCGTAGATCAAGCAGTCGGTTTGTAGCGCAGTCGGTAGATCGTTAATGTATAGTTTGAAGAGCTCTGGTCCAAGCACTGATCCTTGGGGAATGCCACTAGTCATGGGCACTGGAGCAGAGAGGGTTTGGTTCACTTGTACGCGCATTGTCCTACCCCTTAAGAAATCGGCAATCCAGGAGAGAAGATTTCCTGTAATGCCAATTCCCTGGAGTTTATGTAGCAGTCGTACGTGTGGAACCTTATCAAAGGCTTTGCTAAAGTCAATGAATATTACGTCAACCCGTTTTCGTGTATCTATGGCTTCTGCCCATGTTTCCCTGGCGATGAGTAAGTTAGTGATGCATGAGCGTGCTCTCCGGAAGCCATGTTGAGCAGGTGAGATGAGGTTTAGATGCTCACAGTGTAGCTGGAGAGCGCACTTGACTATCCGTTCCATAGTTTTGCATACGACTGACGTCAGACATATTGGCCGGTAGTTGGCCGGGTCTTGTTTGTTTCCCCCCTTGTATTTGGGCAGGACGGTGCCTGCTTTCCAGCCTGTGGGTAGGCAGCCGACTTCGAGGGATTGCCGAAACACTTGGCAGAGAGGGACGGCGACGTACTCAGCTATCGTTCTGAGGAAGCTGGGATGCAATCCGTCCGGGCCTGGGGAGGAGTTCGGGTCCAGTTCGAGAAGTAGCTTAGTGACTACTTCGGGGTTAATTTCAACTTCGTCCATAGAGGAGTGGTGTGCAGGCAAACAGTTGTTGAGCAATGGTGACTCCACTGAGTAGACCGAGGAATATTGCGCAGCCAATAGATTTGCTTTTTCATCATCACCGTAGAGGACGGTACCTTCCTTAAAAGAGGATAGAGCGGGGATTCCACTACCAGTTTTGGCATTTCGCTTCAAGTAGGCAAAAAGTTTCTTGGGACAGTTTTGGGAGTCCATGGCCAGTCTATGTTCATATTGTAGTCTTTTGTCTCGTTTTCTCAGGGTGCATAGGTTTCTGACAGTTTTGTACTCTAAGTAGCTTGATGTCTGTCCTGTGCTTTTGAAATGATCCCATAGTTTTCGACGTTTTTTCATTAGGGATCTTACTTCTTTATCAATCCATGGGGGTCCTTTGGATGGTGGTCTGCTCTTGCAGTTTGGAACAAACTGTTCAACGAGCCGCATCATCATAGATCGTAGGCGTTCCCATGCGTCATCAAGCTCTAAGGATTGCGGGATACTCCAGTCCATGTTACTTGCAGTCGTTCTTAATCTGGGCCGGTCAGTACGCCAGAAATTTCGACGCAGTGTCCCCTGATCGTGGATTGTGAGGCGTCGTGTCCACGAAAAGGAGACTGTACAGTGATCACTCGTCCCAAGAGGTTGGAGGATCGTTAGATCTGAGACATCAGATGGTGTCGAGGTGAGAACCAGGTCGAGAATGTTTGGTGTCTGACCAGGGATCATTCGCGTTGGTGTCAGGACATGCTGTGTCAGGTTGCACTCATGAACGGTATCAAGGAGAGCAACTTCAAAGGAGTCAGGTGAGAGATCACTGTGAAGTAGGTCCCAGATCACGTTGGGGGCGTTGAAGTCCCCCATAAGGAGACAATTTGTTCCTCTGCTGTTGGTTCGCACGGAACGTAGTAAGTGTGAGCCAGGTGCTGCAGGGGCTCTGTAGACCACCCCGACCATCAGCGACTGGTATCCGTCATGAATTCGGCACCAGAGCATTTCCGACATATCATCCTTGTCACAATCGGGTTCGACAATGTGGGCCTTGAGGTAGTTCTTTGTGTAGAGGATTACTCCGCCTCCAGACCTCCCACCAAAGCGATCGCATCGAAGTAGCTGATATCCTGAAACATGAACCTCCGAGTCAGATATGTCAGATGAAAGCCAGGTTTCGGTGAACGCCATTAGGTCCGGTTGCTGTTCAGAGATAAGGAGTGGAATCTCATCTAGCTTGTTTCTGAGACTGCGCACATTTGCGAGTATTACCCGTAGTCCATTCTTTATGTTTGAGGTCCTGGAAGAAGGAGGATTGGCCTCCATCGAGCTCTCTGAGTTTTCTTGACTACGCGAAAATCCACTATGTGTAGATCTGTTTCTCCATTTGCGCGTCGAGTTCGCAGCTCGCAGACAGCTTGCCTCATTCGGACTCGGTCCTCCGGGGAGAGGTCTTTCAGAACGTAGAAGGTTTCTCCCTTGAGGCGCGGGGTCCGTCTCAGGATGCGTTGGCATTCTTCTTCATCCTGACAGACGATTTTCAGAGGACGAAACTTGGCTGGGTCCTCTTGTTTTCTGCCAAGGCGAAAAGCAGAGATTAGGTTTATTCCTTGCTCATGCTCATCAAACAACATGGAGACCATTCGTTTGAGGAAGGCTTGGTCGTCGAGCATCCTTTCAGCTGGAGTCTCTTTGTTGGATTCTGGGACGTTTGTGATTATCAGGCAGCGGTTGCGAACAGGCCGCTTGTCTCGTTCCGGTGATGCTGGCTTTGGTGGACATTTCTTTTCTCTGACAAGTTCCTCAAGCTGCGCTACTCTATTTAAGACGAGCTTTAGTTCCACGTTTTTGGTGTTTGATTTTATCTTGGGTCGTGAGGAAATCTTCTTTGAGGCCTTGTTCTCAGCTATGGTTGTCCTTGTTTTTGCCGAGGTGCTAGCGCTCGCGACTGCGGCATAGGACTTGGGCTTATGCATAAGTCCATTCCCGTTCTCACTGGGCAACGGTGTTAAGTCCAGCGTGGTGGACGACGCGCGGCTTCGTTTCCCTTTCGGTGTAGAATACCCAGACGACGTCAGACACACTGCAGAGTTAGGTGTCTCGCTGTCCGAGTTAGAGACGGCTTGCGCGGAAGCAGTATGTACGTTGAAAGGGTTCGTCAGAAGTTGCTTGTCGCTGACCAATGTTAGACACGAATCGCAGTGAAAGTTGATGCCTTTAGAGGTAGTGCGCTGAAGACATTGGTAAAGATCATTATCAATGTTACAGCAGACTATATGCATCCATCTGTCGCACAGTGCGCATTGGACGGCCTTTGAACGTGAGGTGACACCCTTCCCACAGTCCACGCACATGGATGTCATATCTTCCAAAAGAAAAATTTGACTAAAGTCAAATTTCGTCAAAAGTGTCTATTCAAACACTTTTCTTCACGAGAATTTCACCTAAAAGGCTCGAAAGTATAGCACGTCAGAAAGAGAAGTTACCGCGTGGTACTCACAGAGGTTCATAGGTTCATAGGATTGTAGAGAGCAGAAGGAGAAATCCTTTGTCAGCTCCATCGCTTCCCGATCATTGTGTGGAGGCCGCGATTCGATGTTATGCGGTAATCCACAAGGGACCTTGACAGCTACACTGGAAACTGCAAGGACCCATCGTACTCAAAAGATAAGAGTCTAACATTCGCTTGAAACATTCCTCCGTCTGGGCCTCGACCACATACTTCGGCAAGTTATTCCAATCGTTGACTACGCGAGTTGATAGAGCGAGAGCAGGATGAATCCGAAGTCTTCTGGGTTTAAACAGTTTCCAGTTGTGGCCTCGAGTTGAACTGTTTGGATTGGATTGAAAGCACGCCTGCAGCTCCGTCCCCATCTCTCCTCTCAGGATGCGCCTGGTGAAAATCAGGTCACCGCGACGTCGGCGATAATCCAGGGTGAACAGATGCATCCGCTGAAGTCTTCGGGGATAAGGCAAGTCCCGTAACTCCAAGATGTATTTCGATGCACGCCGTTGCACCTTCTCAATTAGGTCACATTCGAACTTGGTGAGAGGGAAGAGGGCAGGTAATCCGTATTCGAGAATGGGGCGGACATGGGAAGTAAACAATAGTCGGAAGATATCCGGAGTCAAACGCGAGAAGGCTCGTCGTATAGCGTGGGACATCCTGTTGGCAGCAGCAACCCTTCGTAACGTGTCCTGTGTAGTCCGTAGATCAGATGACACCAACACGCCGAGGTCTTTTTCTAGGATTGAGGTTCTGAGCAACGTCCCACCGATGTGATACGTCCCGAAAGGCTCAGAAGCACCAATGGGAAGGACCGAGCACTTATCGCGATTTATGGGCAATCGCCATTTGACTGACCACTCATGTAACGTGTCAAGTGTAGCCTGTAATCGGTCCGCCTCGTCAAGACAGGATACCTCCATCCACAATTTCAAGTCATCAGCGTAAATCAAGCAATCCAACTGAAGTTCCGCCGGAAGGTCATTGATGAAGATCTTGAAAAGTTCTGGGCCCAGGACCGATCCCTGTGGGACACCGCTAGTCATGAGCACGGGAGCGGAGTAAGTCTCGTTCACGTCGACTCGCATTGTCCGGTTATCCAAGAAATCAGCGATCCAAGAGAGAACGTTCCCAGAAACACCGATTAATCGTAGTTTATAAAGGAGTCTTTCATGAGGAACCTTATCGGACCCTTGTAGTGCAACTGAAAACATGCTCTTTCAGTATCTTATAACATTGGATTTTATGGTTGTTTTAACCTTCGAAATGTCCATTTGTTTAACTGACTGCACATCCATGGTCACAAACCGTTTTGGTGAGTTCCACGCTGCACGTTCCTCGCTCTCTCTGATTCGCTTCCTATTCTTGTAGCCTCACAATATACGTTGTTTCAGTTGCCTCCGTCTTCTATACTGTCGTATTTGACACGCCTTGCGTGTCATTGCTTACCGACTAGTATCCCAGGTTCCGCCCAACAGGAGTCTTTCATGGGGAACGTTATCAAAGGCCTTGCTGAAGTCGACAAAAATAACATCCAGACGTTTCCCAGCGTCTAATGATTTCGCCCATCTTTCACGGGCCACAAGCAGATTCGAAGAACAGGAGCGCGCCCGCCGAAAACCATGCTGCGCACAAGAGCTGACGTTAAGGTTCTCGAGGTGGAAAAGAAGTGTCCGTTTGAGAATCCTCTCCATTACCTTGCACAATATTGACGTTAAACCGATAGGTCGATAGTTGGCAGGGTTTTGACAATCCCCTCCTTTGTGTATGGGTTTAACAATCCCCACTTTCCAAACGATTGGGAGCCGTCCAACTTCAAGGGAATGTCGAAATATCCGGCAAACGGGAGCGGCAATGAAATCGGCCACAGTCCTGAGGAACAGCGGGTGCAACCCATCAGGACCTGGCGAGGAGTTCGGATCTAATTCACGAATACCTTTGGCAACGACATCAACGCTCATTTCTACATGCTCCAACGAAGAAGGGAGTATTGGCATCGCGTCACTGGGAAACGGCGTCTCCATCGAGGAAACAGATGCATATTGCATGGCCAGGAGACTGGCTTTCGCAGCATCATCGTCAAGCAAACCCACATGAGCCAAGGAATACAGAGCAGGAATACCACTGCCTGCTCTGGTACTTCTCTTCAGGTAAGAGAAGAGTGCCTTGGGCGTTGTCTTGGATTTCAAGGCCAAACCGAGTTCGTACTTTTGCCGTTTCTCTCGTTTTTTTCAAGTTGCAGATATTCCTGGCCACTTTATATTCCGAATAGTCAGACCCGGATTGCGTGAGCTTAAATCGGACCCACAGTTTCCGTCTTTTGTTCATTAGGCACCTCAGTTCTCGATCAATCCATGGAGGACCCCTGGCAAAAGGTCTTTTGTAGACAGGAACGACCTGCTCAACAAGCGAAATCATTTTGGAGTGCAAGAGGTTCCACTCATCGTCCAAATTCAGGGATTCGGGCATACTCCAGTCCACACTACTGGCAGCCGTTTGTAAGCGTTGGGGATCAACACGCCAGAAATTTCTGCGGAGGCGACCTTGGTTGTGGAGAGTAAGTCGTCGAGTCCAGAGGAATGTAATGACACAGTGATCGCTTTTACCAATAGGCTGAAGAACGGCTAGGTCGGTGACATCTGATTGTGCCGGTGAGAGTACAAGGTCGAGGATATGGGGTGTTTGTCCTGCAATTATACGAGTAGGCGCTGTGACATGTTGGAATAAGTTACATTCGATAACCGTCTCTAGAAGAGCGGAATCAAAAACGTTTGAAGCGGGAACACAATGCAGTTGGTCCCAGTCGATACCCGGGGCATTAAAGTCACCCAGTAATAAACAGTCCTTACCTCCACCATGCATTTTGATCGCGTCCAGCAGACAAGCTCCGGAACCCAATGGGGCTCTGTAGACTACACCGACCATGAGAGATCTGCATCCGTCATGAACACGGCACCAGAGAGTTTCGAAGTCGCCATCGCTGCCACAGGTAGCTTCAACCAGATGGGCCTTGAAGTCCGTCTTCCAGTAGAGTATCACGCCTCCCCCAGGTCTTCCTCCATGGCGGTCTGCCCGGTAAAGGTGGTATCCAGGGATCTGCACCTCCGAGTCCAGGATATCCGAGGACAACCAGGTTTCGGTGAAAGCTATAAGATCCGGCCGATTCATGGAGGCAAAAAGCTGAACTTCGTCTAGTTTGTTTCTGAGACTGCGCACATTGGAAGAAATTACGCGCAGTCCATTCTTCAACTCTAACGCCCGGGCATTACAAGGAGTGGCCTCCAACGAGTTCTTGGCGTTTTTCGAACCACGCGAAAATCCACGATATGTAGGTCCGTCTCACCGTTATCACGACGACATCTAAGTTCATCCACCGCTTTCTTCATTTTTACTCGGTCCTCCGGAGAGAGGTCTCGTAATACGAAAAATGGTTCTCCTTTAAGACGCGGAGCTCGTCGGAGAATGCGATGGACTTCATCATCGTTCTGACATACAATCTTCAAGGGACGGACCTTAGAGGAGTCCTCCTGTTTCTTTCCAAGGCGGAAAGCCGAGACCACGTTGATTCCTGGCTCACCTTCATCGAGCAGTAAGGAGATCATGCGTTCTAGAAACTCTTGATCATCCATAATCCTTTCAGCTGGAGTGGTTTTGGACGACTCAGGAGCATTTACGATGATTAGGCAACGGCCACGTGAGGGTGATTTGTTGTTAACAGGGATCTGCGAATTGTGGAGAGGTGGACCCTCCTTAAGCAGTTTTTCTAGCTGACCGACTCTATCCAGAACTAGCTTCAACTGCGATTGTGAAGACAATGGTTTGCTTTTCACCTTGACATCAGTCTTGCCCATACTTTCAGCCACTCGTACTGGCGAGGACAGGGGCGCACAATCCTTCGCTACAGATGCATAAGTCTTGGTATTTGGGGGTTTATCGTGGCCAACGTCCGTCGGCTTACCAGAGGGGGTAACGGGACCAGAAGTTGGTGATGAGAGGCATGGAAATGCCAAGGAGGCAGTAGCGCTGATTGCTTCGGTTTGAGCAGAAGATAAATGCGGGTTCGGTGCAGGCAGTCCATCAAGCGGTGCAGCATCGGTACCTGCCTTCTTCACTGGAGTCCGACCGGCAGGGATATACTTGTCGTTGGGGGGCAGCAGAGGATGTTTCTGCTTCTGCACAGAATGCAAACCTGAGGGACTTGGACTGATTGGAGGTAGGCCATTCGAAACGCGATTGACACTCAGTCCAGCGCGACATGGGTCACAAATAAAGACGACGACCGAGGAAGTGGTCCTCTGCAGTTGATCGTACAGATCGGCACCGATTTTGCAACACGCAACGTGCAACCACCCTTCACAGAAAGAACACTGAACAGCTTTCGATCGAGCAGTAACAGCTTTAAAGCAGTCCGAGCATTTGCAAGACATTGTATACTATCTACAATAATTTCTGTGAATCTTCAAGACAGTAACAAAGCATAAAGGAGCTCGCTATCCACAGTTTTGTCCCAACCCCCCTTAACATATATCTTGAGTGCGTTTTCCTAGTTGCAACTACCGTCAGCACGAAGCCAAAAACGACTCCTAAATTGTAATTATACTATAGCGTTGAACCAAAAAGAAAATGTTTTCGAGTGACCAAAATTCGACCAGAACGCGTGCAATTTATAAGGCCAAGTGCACAAAAATTGGTCATACAGTGAGCTCCAATGGTCACTCGCGCTGAGCGAAATTACGATTTTCTTAAAAATTAACGACCTTTAGGCAAGGAAGGTGCTAAAGATGTGAAATCTTATTTAACGTCATGTATGGACAGATCACACCAGTTATTTTCATATTGACCTTTTGCCTCTACGAGTGACTAAAAGCGCCCAAATGGGACGACTGACAGATTATCTGCGTGAACAGAGCTGCCTACAAACATCGGCGTGGTGGGCCTCAGAGCACACCGCTTTATTGTGATTGGTCACATGCGGTTAATGAAATTCCAGTTTAAC